AAAAAAAATCTTAAAATAAATAAATAAATCTTAAAAAAAAAAAAGAATAGAGAGCTCAGAAATAAACCCATGATTATATTGTCAATTAATCTTTGACAAAGGAGGCAAGAATATTCAATAGGGAAAAAGACAAATGGTGTTGGAAAAACCGGACTGCTTTCTTATACCATATGCAAAAATAAACTCAAAATGAATTAAAGACCTAAATGTGATTTCTGAAACCATAAAAATCATAGAAGAGCACATAGGCAGTAATTTCTCTGACATTCGCCCTGCAACACTTTTCTAGATACAGCTCTTTTTTTTTAAAGATTTTATTTATTTATTTGACAGAGAGAGATCACAAGCAGGCAGAGAAGCAGGCAGAGAGAGGGAGGGAAGCAGGCTCCCCGCCGAGCAGAGAGCCCGATGTGGGACTCGATCCCAGGACCCTGAGATCATGACCTGAGCCGAAGGCAGAGGCTTTAACCCACTGAGCCACCCAGGTGCCCCTAGATACAACTCTTGAGGCAAGGGAAACAAAAACAAAAATAAACTATTGGTACTACATCAAAATGAAAAGCTTCTGCACAGCAAATGAAACAACTGACAAAACCAAAAGACAACCTACTGAATGGGAAGAGATATTTGCAAATGACATATCCAATAAAGGCTTAGTATCCAAAATATATAAAGAACTTAAACAACTCAACACCCTCCCCCCAAAAAATAACCCAATTGAAAATGGGCAGAAGACATGAAAAGATATTTCTCCAAAAAAGACATACAGATGGTGGCCACAGACATATGAAAAGATGCTCAACATCACTAATCATCAGGAAAATGCAAATCAAGACCACAATGTCATATCACTTCACACCTGTAAGAATGGCTAAAATTGAAAACACAAGAAACAACAAGTGTTGATGAGGATGTGGAGAAAAAGGAACTCTCAGGTACTGTTGGTGGGAATGCAGACTGTTGCAGCCACTGTGGAAAACAGTGTGGATGTTCCTCAAACAAACAAACAAAAAATTACCATATGATTCAGTAATTCCACTACTAGGTATTTAAACTAGGAATTTAGTAATTCCATTACTAGGTATTTATTTATTGCATAGAGATATGCACCACTATGTTTATGCAGCATTATTTATAATAGCCAAATTATGGAAAGAGCCCAAGTGTCCATCAATAGATGAATGGATAAAGATGTGATATATAATGGAATATTATGCAGCCAATAAAAATAATGAAATGTTATCATTTACAACAACATGGAAGGATCTAGAGCATACAATGCATAGGGAAATAAGTCTCATATGTGGAATTTAAGGAACAAAGCAAACAAAGAGGAAAAGAGACAACCCTAAAAACAGACTCTTAACTATAGAGAACAAACTGATGGTTACCAGAGGGTAGGTGGGTGGGGGGATGAGTGAAATAGGTGAGGGGTTTTCATAGACTCAGGAGAGGAGGGAGATGGAGAGAGTT